ACCCTGATTTCATTTTCAAAGGAGTTTCTCCCTAGCTGAAAATTCATTTCCTGAATTCCTATGCAGCTGTGAGTGGCCTGACAACTTTATTCTTCATAGTGAGGTTTTATGTGGAATCCTATAGATGAGGTTTGTTAAAGAAGGCAGAGTAGGAAGACAGATAAACTTGAATCTTTGACACGATGGTGGGTGTCCTTATCAGGTCTGGACTGTATACTGCCAGTCTTCTTATGTTAAGAAAAAGTAAGATACCTAGAGTATTGAAGCTGCTCTTTAGATTGGACTCTTGCACATGTAACTGAATATAGTTTCTAAGTGATACATACGTTTTGTTTTGTTTCATTTTTTTGTAAAAGATATTTGGATGGGGTTGTACTTGATCTTTTAAATTACTCCCCCATTTAATTTTGTAATTTGCTTTAGTTTTGATTCCTGAATTTAACATATTTAAGTTATCAAGCATGTTTTGAAATGCACATTTTTCAGTTCTGACATCAAATCTGAATGTAGAACATTTTAAAACTTTTTAGTTTGAAATCATTTAAAATTAAAGTTTTGAGACTAATACAAAACTTCCTTGACATTATTATTATTTTCTGAACTATTTGAGATTAAGTTGCCCACATAATGCCATTCTATCACTTAAATACTTCGGTTTACATTTTCTAAAAGAAAAGATGCTCTCTTACTATGCTGCAATTCTTGAATTCAGGAATTGAATACTCATGCAGTTTCATCACTGAGCAGCTCATATTGTCCCAGTAATAACCTGCATCATTTACTTTGAGATGGAGTCTGACGTCCTGGGTTGCATTTGGTTGTCATGCTTCTATAGTCTCCTTTATGTGGGGACTCACTCTTTGTCTTCGGTTATATAGACACTTAAAAAAATATATAGCAGTTCTTTTGCATAGTGTTCCTCTGTTGGGGTTTCCTGATGCTTCTTCAAGATTAGATTAGGATTATGCATTTTTGGCAGGACTATCATAGGTTGTATATCATTTTGTCCTATTATTGGTAATATTAACTTTAATCTCTGGGTTGTGATGGTGACTATTAGGTTTTCTATTGTAGAGTTACTGTTACTCCTTTATAGTTTGTAAGAATGAAGTTTGAAATTTTGTAAACATTCTGTTCCTCAGCAAACTTTGACCCAGTAGTTGGAGCATGTGTTAAAGATTCTTGACTGATTACTGAGATAAATGTAAAACACTTTCAAGTAATATTTCAAGAAATCTTAAGGTATTCTACTGAGTAAGCTTTTTTTCATTATTTATATTGTGTGTGCTTCATTTCATGATGCTGTTTCATAATTTTGGGGAACTTGTTTTAAGAAATACAAAGATGTATGTAGGGAAGAACATGTTTCTAGTTTAGGGAATATGATGGAAGGATTTGATAGTGGAATCTCTTGCCCTGTTTTTCTCTCCAATAGATTATTTTATATAGATTAGTAGAATATAAAGAGAGCTGAAGTAAATGGGATAAATCAATTAAAATTAGGATCTTTTATGACAGAGGGGAGAATGAAATTAGCTTTTTCTTTGAATAGATCTTAGGACCCTTATTATATAATTACTGACCTAGCACATGGCCTGCCAAAAACATATCTTTCACAGACATCCCAGGTATTTCCCCTTGGGCTTAATCGACAAATGAACGCCTCCTTTTCTTCTTGGAGACATAAGTGAGTAAACAAGGAGGATAAGAATGGGACTGAAACTGTTAATTCAGTAAAACTTCTTGGGGAGTTATATAGATCAACTTCAGAAATATGAGAATTCATTAAGGGCAGAAAACTGTCTTCTAAAAAGGTGAAATTTGCTCAGTCTCTCTAAAGTAAGAGGTATTTTCTTACATATTTTCAGAGAAAAAATAAATTCTATTTTTTTCTTCCTACCCCCAGCACCAGCAGACATTTTTGAATCAACTGAGAGAAATTACTGGAATTAATGACACCCAGATACTGCAGCAGGCCTTGAAGGTATGGCCTCTGTTTTTGGTATATCCCTATGAGGTTTTTAGTTATACCATGTGGTAGTTATGGAGATAGAGGAATGGACTTTTATAAAGTAAGAGCCTCACTCAATGCACTGCAATTTTGAGCATGTTAGCTTTCAGCAATCTGATGTTTCATGATACCTTGGAGTAATTAGTAACCTCTCTATATGACATGCTTTTCTTGGTAAAATGGTGGAACTGTGAATCCTAAAGCTAATGAATGATATTATTGGAGCCATGATTTTAGAATATAAATGGGAGTTCAGGGTGAGGTGAGTTAGAGCAAGAGGTGAAAGAACAGGGAAAAGTTAGAAAATGCATGAAGGGACAAAAACCTACATTTTTTTTCTTCCCAAGAAGGAGAAATTTAAATTTCTTGCCTTCAACTAATTATATCTTAAGAATATTCAGCTTCACATTCATTAGTAGTATGCATTGTTTGGTTGTGTCTTGGAAACATCCTCATTTTCCCACAGAGGTTCAGAGATGAGTCAAATCACATGGATAATTCACAGTGACAAAGATCAAGTGAATGAAAGATGTTCTTGAAATGGAAGTATATTTTAAGCTCATTTGTATATGGCTACTAAAGGTTAAAAGCAGTATGACATTTTTGTTACTCATAGTCGAGTACACAGCTATAGTCTTTACTCTATGGGACCGAAAGTTAATTATGTGTTTTCTGATTCTGAGCCAAAGGGTCTTTGTTTCCTGAAATAATTGATCTTTTAGATGACTATAGTGATAATGATAACTAGCACTTATTAAACAGTTAATAGTACCAGATACTATTTTAAGTTCTTTATGTGAGCTTACTCATCCTCATAACTCTGAGGTGAGTAGTGTTTTCATTCGCTTTTTGAAGATGAGGAAACAGAGGTTAAAGTAATCCTCCAAGATCACACCACTATGTGAAAGTATATGGAATAGAAGCCACAGCAGCTTGATCTCTGGATGCCAGACTAATTTTTTTCCTCTTTCACTGGAAGCCTTGCTTTGTCTTATTCCCATAAGGAAAATGATGAAATAGTACTCTTAAGGGCATTAGTACAGGAGCTATGAAGCCACTGTAAGTAGTTGCAGAGGAAGCAGAAGTGTCACACCTCAATGTCATGAATAGATGTCATTTAGATGATTACCAGTCCTTCCTTTATTCTGATAAATACATGACTAAATCATTCCACGTCTGTTTTCAGCAAGTGCCTTTCCTAGTGTATCACAGAGTATGAGGCTGTAGCCCATCACTTTGCCAGCATAAATATGGAGAATTTTACTTTTCCTTTTTAACTTGAGAACTATACATCAAATTAAGTCTTGTCCTCATCCTCATTTCCTTTGATGTAGGTTGTGTGAGCACAGATTTTTTGTTTCCTTTCTCCCAAACTTCTGTTCCAGTTTTCATGACTGGGGGAAAACAGTGTATTTAAACCTTAATTTTGCCAATTAAAATTTATGCAGTGTTTAATAATGAGTTGATTCTCCTAGTAATAAAGAATCTACTTGTGGGAAACACACTGTCACTGGTTGATTTTGGCACTTTTGATTTATCAAGCTATGAAATTTCTGTTGTAGTTTTTTATTACCATGTGAGAGATTATATAAAGAGCACTTATTACATTTCTTCACATGTAGTAAGGGCTAAATAAAAATTAGCCATCATTATTGTAATTTATTTTTATTACTATTAATTGATTTATCTAACAGTGGAATACTGTATACCCATATTTTGGATGAGTGATTTAAGAATCTTATAATATTGATTAAGGTAGCATTTTTTAAAGCATTGGTGCATTTTAAATTGTACTCTTAATTTCCTATCCTTAGTGGCTGTTAGAATTAGAGTTGGGGTGGATTTTAGTTGTGTAGGCATCCAATATTGGAATCATCGCAATCCTTCTTCTATTATGTCCCATATTTAATATGATAGCCCAAAGTGTTGGACTATCTGACCTTCTCTCTTGTAGTCTTTTCTTAATACACAACCTTAGTAAACCTTTTAAAATGTAAGTCATGCCATATAATTCCTGTCCAGAACCTTCCAGAGGCTTTCTCTGATAAGTATGCTGAAGTTCTCAGAGCTGTCCATGTCATGGCCTTCTGTTACAGTGGTTATTGTTATTAATATCTGGGTCTCCTATGTTACTTTAGGTAGCTATCTTGTTGTAGTTATTTTATCATTAACCATGTGGAGAATAAAAAGATAAAACTGGGCAAGTCTTTTCTCATTACTGTGATGCTTTAAAAATTCTTAGATATTCTTATGGCCTGACAAATGCAAGAGCCTGAGTTCAAACCCCAGCACCACCAAAATGAGGAAAAGTCATATGGAAAAATTCTTAGTCTAGCATTATCACTTCTAAATGGACTTTAGACTATTATGTCCAGGCATGCTTTTGATGAGAACTAAGTAAAATTCATATATAAACTTGAGTAGGAGTATCATCTTGGTTTATTGAGTATTTCTGTCTCAAGAGTTCTGTGTATCTCTCCATACTGTCAAGCTTCAGTAAATTTTACTGTTTTCAATTTATGAGTATTTAACATTTTGCTTAAGTTAACCCCCAGGTATGCATCTAATACCCAAATTATAAGGATTATTTTTATTGTCCTTATTTATTGAAGTAGTATGTTAAGTACTCATTTTTCACTCTTACAAGAGAAGTTCCAGAAAAAAATTAATTTACTCATTTGTTTGAAAATATAAGTTTATAACTGAGTTTTATTGAGCTGTATGAAAGTAATAGAAAACTAAGAAATTAGAGAATTGATTTCTTGATTTTTTTTTTACATTATACTAGTAGTTTTAATAAGTGAATTATTTTTGAGATAGTGTACTTTGTGATGAATTCATATTCTACAATTAGCGTTATAGATAGAATCATTTCAAATCAGTGATTTTTGTTATGAAATATTACTTACTATGAAAAAAAATTACATAAATTTTGTGAGAATGTGCAGTTATTCCAAAGCATTGAATGTTCCTGTCTTGATGTTTGAAGGATAGTAATGGAAACTTGGAATTAGCAGTGGCTTTCCTTACTGCAAAGAATGCCAAGACCCCTCAGCAGGAGGAGACAGCTTATTACCAAACGGCACTTCCTGGCAATGATAGATACATCAGTGTGGGAAGCCAAGCGGATACAAGTAAGTTTCCTTTTTCTTCTAAATATTTTACAGAAATGTACTGAAAGATATTTTCATGATACTATATTAATTTTGCTTAAGCAGTGGTGAAGAACAGCAAAATAAGAACGGGTTTAACTTTGGTTCCTTTTAATGTAGTTGAAAGGAACACACTTTATTAGCCACATCATGCTTTTGTTTTTCCATATGAGAGGTCAAAGATTTTATGTAAGTTACTTATCCTTTCATGAGCATTGCATGTAGTATTCAATGCTTTGAAGTATGGAACAACTGTATTTATTATATTCATCCAAATTCCTAGAATTTTAAATGACCACAATCATTTGTTTTCTGGACTTTAAGAGTTAGTTGAGGGCTTAGTAATACTTAAAGGTAAAGTATTATTTCTAGTTACTAATAAGTTTACTGTTCAATAAATCCCTTCCCCCACCCTCTGCTACCTAATAAAGATTTGGGTGAAAGGCTTATGATTATATAACAAAATCATCCTTAATCCAAAAATTGGGAAAGACATTCTTTTTGGAGACACCACATACATACATATAAACACGTATAAATACATATATGGAAGATTTTATGGGGGGGCGCTATGTTTTTTTTTTTCCCAGTATGAATGCTTTGTTCTTATGTAGCACTCAGAGTTTTTGCCTCCGAATCTCATTGCAGTTTAGTAACAGACATGGCTGAGGGTGTAAAGATAGAGCACCTGTTAGCACATGTGAGGCCTTGTAATCAATCCTTAACACTAAAAACAAAAAATACTTTATATAATGCAAACATTGTTATGCACTGTAGATTTGAGATGTTTGATTGCTAACATGTTTTAAAGAGGATTTCTGGTTTTTGTTGTAGACCTTGTCCAAGTTAGGAAACAACCGGAAAGAGCCCATTGACTTCTGTCTCACACAAGTGAGAATACTCTTCTGTCTCGCCCAGTTTATAGATGATGGCAGAAAAGTATTGCATACTCGATAGACCAGTTGCTTATGTCCAGTTACAAGATAAACTGTGACTTGGCCTCCTTTATATCTCCAGCTTCTTTTTCTGCTGTTTTCTCCTCATTTTACACTGTGATAACAATACACATTGCTTTGAAGTTCCATGCAACCAGTGCCACTTAATTTTACACTTACTTTTCCTTCTGTCAGGAATTCCCCTAAGCTTTCCCTCTGTAACTAAAGTTACCTTGTCTGAAAAGAGGTCAGGAATTGCATGCTAAAAAATGTTTTTCCTGGTGTTTAGATTGGGCCAAGTGTCTCTCCGGCTAATAGAGCATGCCTCTAATAAGTATTACTGTTTTGAACATTACTGAAGCTCAAAAATGTTTGCTGAGTTAATTTTGATAACACTTATGGAAAATCACTTTGAAGATTAATAAAGGCTATCAAGTTGAGAAGTTTGTTGCAGAAGTTGAAACAGAGAAGTGGTCAAAGTGTAGGATGAATTAGTATTGAGAATAACATCTCATTTCTTTGAAAAGTTCTGAGACGTGGAGGTGGAACAAAATTAGGTAGTAGACAAAAAACAAGAATAATTTTGACTAAAGACAACTGGATAAAGTGAAGCAAGCAGGAAATTAATAGGGTTTAGTATTCTAGTTAAATAGATAAAATGATTTTAGGTATTTGTGAGCTTTTGATACAGATGGTACATGTGGGGACATGAATAGCATATAAATTGTATAAAAGAGACAGTTAGAATTATGAGACTGTTAGTATCATACTGGAAACTGCTGCTTAAGCAAATGTTAACACCTCTTCAAGACTTGATAAGGAATTGTGAAAATGTCATGAAGGGCAAAAAGAAATTTGATTAGGTGCCCTTAAGGAAAAAGGCAACTGAATTTCAGAAGGCATGTGTTTCATTTGTTGATAATTTTTTTCTGTGTACATCTTGAAAAATATTCATTGTATAATTTATTTTTCACTTGAAATGAAAGAGAAATGAAGTTTCTGGTTGTTATCTCAACAGATTGCCATTTTAAATAAATTGCTGTTGTGGTTTATCACACCTGTTCTTCTAACCAGGATGCTCGCTGGGATTGCGTGCTCATAAAGTTGATTTGATTTGAGATATTGAGAAGCAAACTTGTAGGAATTTAATGTGATGATTGTATAATGATAGTATATTAGTATCATATACTAATAAAAAATAGCTGATGGAATAATAATACTTTTCCATTTAACATATTTATATCATGCCTTATAAAAATTTCTATGAACTACAACTACCTTTAAGAATTAGACTTGACTCAGCAATTAAATTTAGTGTTGTCATACAGCACCTTGCATGGTTTAAAACTGACAAAGTAAGATGATATCATGCATCTAGCAGATAATAAAAATACTGTGCAGTTATTGTTGAGAATTAATGAACTTTTTGTGTATTTGTAAAAGGAATGATAGAACTTACATGTGAGAAGAAAATAGAAAAAGTACAAACGAGTACATATGTAAGTTCAGGCCTTCATTGAAAAAAAACTGCATAAGTGCTGAAGGAATGTAGTGTAATGTAGCAATAACATTGTGATGGTATTGTAGATTTTCAAAAAAAAAAAATCTCATTTTCTCTCTCTCTTTTTTTTGGTGGTACTGGGGTTTGAACTCAGAACTTTGTGCTCTCTAGGCAGTTGCTCTTCCATTTGAGCCTTGCCTGCAGTCCACATTTTCTCACTTTTATGTGAACTACATTGTTATTTGAAAGTTGGCCATAGTTGAACCTGATTCTTTCAGATATGGCCAGGTTTTATTTTCAGTCATTTTTTTTTCTTTTTTAAGTATAAAATTTACAACCATGACTAAAAAATAAACAGAGGTCATGCTATCATAAGCATGTCATCTGTTGGTTTCAGTGCTGACAAAACATCTTTAAGACTAAATACTGTGTTTCCTTGTTGATGGAAGTTGGAATATAGCTATTTGCAACTGTTTCTTTGGGAAGGAATGAAGTTCATTTTTATGGTGACTGAAAAATTTAGTTTTTGAACAAATGTTTCCTATGTTGGGCTTACTGTGAAATTTTTCTTATGCACATCCTAGTATATAAAAGGCAATTATAAATTATGTCAGTTGTTTGAAGAACCATTTTATTTGTGATCCTTAATATTGAAGAAGTAATTACTTTTTCAGTAGTAGAACAACCATGTGCTTTTTTATAGCTTATTTTTACCTTTCATCTTTGAGAGAAATAGGAAACGTCTCAAGGAAATCTTGTATTCTGCATAATAAGGAATTTAGAATAAGTGTACCTGATGTTTTTCTATAATTTTGGTAACATTCCATACTGTAATATAATACTGTGTTGGATTCTGGGAAAAGCCTCAAGTCATTTGTAATATAAGTAGCAAAAATTCTAGGCAACTTTTTTCATTTCTTGGATTCTGACCAGATTATATGACACAAGTTTTCATGAGTGTCTTGTATCCCAACTTACATTGGAAATATAAATGTTTTGGAGTTTCACAATCAAAATTACTCATAAAAATGGGACTAGGACCCAAGGCAAGGTGTGTGTATAGGTGTACTTAATATGAATAAGAGAAATTCTGGGAAGTTTTTTGTGTCCTGGCACATACTGTCATGGCAATGAGTATACAAGGCTTTTGCCCAATATGAGACCTACGGGTTGTATGTCAAGTAGTGGAGCACATTCCTAGTAAGCCAGAGGCTCTGAGTTCAAATCACATTACAATTGTAAATAAATAAATAAATAAATAAATAAGCAAACCAGTAAACCAACAAACAAGGCTTCTTTTTCTTGCCCAATATGAAGTCTAATAGTAATATTCTTTATTTAATGAGTATTAAATTCTTTTGAACTTTTTAAAATTGGAACAAAAACAGTATATTCCCACCACAACAAGATGTACTACAATTAAGCACTCAAAATATGGATCAAAAGATAAAGGGATTTGGGTAATTTTAACACAAAAAGTAATACCACATTATTAGTGTGAGTCTAAGGGAAATTGGTGTAACACGTGAATATTAAGGGTAGACCCTTCCAAAATTTAGAAGTCATTGTATTTTTTTCCCCAAGATAGCTTGAGGATTGAGTTCAATATAAGAAAAATTTTGAGGTTCTATCTTAGAACTCTGTTTATGGTTACATGGCCTGGCCAGAGCTAATGTGCTCATCTCTACTGAGGATATTTCACTTACGTTAAGTAGTTCAGGCTTTTATTCATTGAACACTGTTATTTTCCCAGTTTCCCAAATTGGTTAAACAAGTGACTTCACATACAAAAGAAAAGTTTAGTGCAATGAAAGTTGAATCTCTATCCATAGGAATTTCTAATACATAAAACTACTTCCATGATTCATCCACAGTCAAGGTTAAGCTTAAAAAAAAAGATTATGTGTTATGTAAATTACTTCTAACTGATTAGATGCGGTTAGGTGCTTCAGACTGATTAAAAATACTCTAATAGATGTAAACTGTAGAATGGTTTGTATAACTTTCTGAATTTTCTTCTTTTTTTGAGATGAGGTCTCGCCAGTGTATCCAGGTTGGTTTGACTCTTGGGCTCAAGTGGTACTTCAGCCTTAGTTTTTGTTTTTTTTTTTAGATTTAGGGAAGAATCATAGCCATGGCCTTTGTACTTACTGATTACCGTGGACTATTACCTTCATTTTTTTTTCACATTCCATGTTGTTTCACAGAAAAAAATAATCACAACATTCTGGCATGACTTCCTTGGTATTCACTTTACTTTCTTTCTTTACTACCAATTTTACCATGCCACTTTCCTGCATGAAAATATTTATTGGTGCTAAATATAAACTTGACTTGTTTTAAAAAATTCTCCTAAACTTAGGTTCATGTAGATAAAAAAAAATTTTCCCCATTTAAAGTAAAAATGTTTGTATTGTAGAGATCCTGTTTCATTTAATAAAATATTTTCATGGGAAAGTGAATTATGTATTATGGACAGTAAATACATTTAAAGTCGAGTTCATTGACAGCTTGGTGACTGCATATATTTTGGTATTAACAGAGAAATGTATATGTATATATACACATGTACATATATTTGTGTATGTGCTGGTAGATATGTTTTACTTAAATGGTAATTCCTGAGAAAGTGAAAGATTTATTAGGATGAGTATCATGTTTTGGCATGTATTTCTGACTTTACAAAAAAAGTGTAGATTACTGCTTATATAGTTTTGTAATGTGATTTTTATACAGTGATATCCAATTAACACTTCCATGCAAGTGCCTTTGAGTTGTTCTTATAGTAATCCTAGAAGGGAGGGTTGGTAAAAGAAAGACACAAATTGATTATTTTACTAATGTCTTACCTTGACCCAGATGTAAAAATAGTCTGTGTGCTCTGGCATAAGAATATAAGCAGTAAGAATGTTATCTTTCATTATAAAAATGATAATTGATTACATGTGAGTGTAATCATTATTCCACTAATTCAAGAAAAACAAATACAGGCTTAACCATTGTATTTAAGTAACATTTTACTTACTAGTTTCTAGGATTTTTTTTTTGGTGGTGTGGGACTTGAACTCAGGACCTTGCCCTTGCTAGCTAGGTGCTTTACCACTTGAGCCATGGCCCCCAGCTACTTACTAGTTTTTTAAGTAAAAAAGATAATTAAAATCGTAAGAATTTGGCAGGTGAATAAGGTTATAATCTTCTTTGAGGATTATCCTTGTTCTAAAGTACTGTGGAAAGAAGAAGCTTTATGGAGACTGGGAACATCATAGAGAAAATTATTATAATTACAGTGCAATTACAAATAATAAATGAAACTTCCTACTACATAAAACAAAAAAAAATCAGAACTTTTCAGTTAAGGACTGGAAGTCTTTGATCTCAACTGACTTTTCTGTAATTAAGAACTTTGATTCCTCCGTACCAAGGGTTGCAGGCTCAAATTACCAACTGGGTTATAGATGTACATGTGTGTTCAACATCTTAAGCACTGAGATGCTGAAGACACTGCAGTAAATGGACCGTTTAGTATGCTTCTTGTAACTACAAACAGTTTTACCCTTTTATGCCAGGGCACGGTACACGTGTTTTTAAATATTTGGCATAATGCAAGGGCAAGATAGGTGATAAGAATGTGTGTAGCTATGCAAGTGTAAGAGAGTAGGAAATGTTGGAGGTGGGTCAAAGAAGGAAAGTGAACATTCTATCAAAAGAGAGCCACTGCTGCTGCCACACTCTGACTGTTATGTGGTTATTGCCATGCACACATCATGGGGCCAGGTCTTCTGATGTTTTTACTCCAAAGAAGAAAGGAAGAAATACCTGTTGTGAATGTATAATCTTCTGATGTTTATCTTTTGCCAGTTAATTCAAAAGTTTTTTTTTAATCTGAGAAAAACTTCAATTATGACTTGTTTTATAAAAAAAATTTATGTTTTAGAACATGGAATAAACAGTGATTTCCACTCTTGCTTTCAGGATCCCTTTATCATAAAAATATTGAGGACTACAAAGAATCATATATTTTCTGACATAGAACTTAAAATTTAGGGAAGTTTAGGATACTTAATTCCCATTAAAATATCAGTCTGTTATGTCTGTACAAATAATATTTTTTTGTAAACAACATTTTCTGAAACAATATAAAGAAAGAAGAGTATGTTGTTTTACATTGTTGCAAATCTCTAAAATCTGCTATATTAGAAAAGAGAGATGGGATCTGGAATCTGGTTCTGAAGGTCCAGTTCTGTTGCAATAAGTCATTTTGGTTAAACTATATGAAAGTTGAGAAAAAGGAGGACTATCTTGACTGACTATTCAAATAATGGTGGGTATGCTTTATAAGACTATACCAAAACTTGATGACTTCTCATTTCTTAAAGATTAGTTGCAATGTGAACCCAAATTATACCAGTGATTCATTGGTGATTAATAATTATGTTTTCATACCAAGTTATGTTAAAGTTTATTAGTCTTTTTTGCTCTTTGAATGGAGTTTTTACTCATAAATGATTTTGTGACACTGAGCATTAGTTGTTAAGAAAAGATTTCCTTCCTTATGTGGATATTTTTAAACAAGGAATTTAATATAGGGGATTGGATTCTTACAAAATCACTGGAAAGACTTGATATCTAGCCTAGCTTTCTGAATTGACTTGCAGATCATTGCAGCAATATCCAGGCAGCTTAGTTATTCCCTCTGCTACAATCAGGAAGGCATCTTCTAGGACTCCTCTGTTCAGGAAAATATTTCTGTAGTGGTGGCCTAGACAACTGAACGCCTGGATTAGGTAACTTCCACTGAGCCCTGCCTAGACTTTGGAATACCAAGTCTGTTTGCCACTTCTGCGCTATCACTTGACATGCTTGGAGCTGGAAACCGGATATTGGGATGCTACTGTGGAATAGTCTATGCTTGTGAAATCATGCAGAAGAAAGCACACAGAAGCAGCAGGATAATGACTGCCCCTTTGCTTCTGCCTAATTGATATATCCTAAGTTTTATTCAGAACCTTACCTGCAAGTGTGAATAGGGAAGAGAATTTTTTTTTAATCTCCAATTTCTGTAGTTGGTGAACACACAACTAGAAGGATGAGAGTAGACTCCGAGGGCTGGCTGATTGGTCATATCCCTAAAATCTGATTTTCTGCTTCTCTGTGATTTTTCAAATTTTTTTTTTCCTCCCTTCATTATCCTCTCTTTACTTACCCAAATTCTAAATACCAGTTAGCTCTCATGCATTCCTTACCTTTGTAATTCAGCTTCATCATTATTTAATCTGAACTGGGTGGCTACACCCACTCACTTACAAGCTGGGTGTATTTAGATCTTGCAGCCAGGTTTATGAGACCTTTGGCTTGCTGGCTTATGATAGCTGTTTCATCACTTCAGTTACTTTGCTGTAGAACTGTGCTGTATCTTTTACTTTATTGAACTTTGTGGACCCTATTTACTATATTTTCGTGAGGGTTTTTTTTTTTAATTCTTCAAGGACATTAAAACAAAAAACCTCAGCACCTGTGGTTAGCTATTCTTTTCTAAAATTTTTAAATAGTCTTGTAAATTACTGTTTGTAGAAAAAATATAGCTGATAGTAATAGACTTTTGAAACCATCAATATACATTATTTTTTCTCATTGTTTATTCTTTCTGTGTTTATGTATATATGTATATGTATATATTTATATATAAAGAATAGTTTGGTACTAAAATGAAGATAGCCTCTACTATTCTGTTATTACAAAGAAAAATAAATTTTAAACATGTTAAAATACAAATAATTAAAATGAATGTAAGACATGTCCAAAATACAAATGAACATAATTTAAACCACACAAAGGTGTCAGGTATATATACTTCATTCTCTTTTTCATCACATTGATTCCTATCATTGTTTAATCGATAACGGTAATATTTATCATTTGCATCTTTTGCATTAAGGAAATTGGTCAGTACATACTGAAAAATCGGATTTAAATGTGGTTTTACTGAAGGAATGTGGTTTTACTGAAGGTGCTAATATTTATAGCTTTTATTCTTTGGAAAAAGAATTAATACCTATAGCCTGAAGGCTTTCTTTTGTTAAAGGAGGAATGAATAATTTGTTTTTGTTTTAGTGAAATGAAAATCTTGCTTTAAGGAAAAATAATTGCATATTATAAGTAACATATGGTACATAAATGAACAAAATAGAAAATGAAAATTCCTTTCACTTCCTACCATAAATTCTTTCATTAGAGCTAACCATTTTTGACAGTTTGGCATATTATTTCGACCTGAACATGCGCACGCACACAAAGCTACACACCTATGTTTAATAAAATTATAAAACATAAATTTTTGAAAACACAATTGCTTATTACAATTTAACAGACAATGTATACAGTGTAGTGTGAACAGAATTTAACATATGTAATTGGGTTAACTTCAAGAAAGCATAACTAGAAATGTTTGATTGTGTTGATATACCATTCTGAGCAATGTTTCTGCTTATTGACTTAAAAGAGACTTCGTAGTAAGTACTGAGGTTCTGCTGCAATGAAAATTATTTCTTAGTGTTTGTGGTATGTTTTATAGAAGAGAACATTAGGTTACCAGAAATAGTAAATTAAAACTGTGTTTGCATTTGTGTTCTTTTTAGATAGGCTCCTTTCTTACAGAAGAGTTCGAGAATCAAGTTGGTGCTGACTTTGATTTGGAAAAGCTTATTGAGTATAAAATCTCCATGCTAAGATTTACTTTCCATTTTGTTTGACTGAATTTTGAGAAAGATAGTTTTGCTTTTCAGATGTGATTGATCTCACTGGAGATGATAAAGATGATCTTCAGAGAGCAATCGCCTTGAGTTTGGCGGAATCAAACAGGGCATTCAGGGAGACTGGAATAACTGATGAGGAGCAAGCCATTAGCAGGTAAAAATATAATTTTATAAAGTAGATATAAATGATGTTTATAAAAAATAATAATTGGCTTTAATTTTAAGAGGCATTAGATATACACTGGTCTAAATAAATCACTAGTATATACTTCTGTATTGTTTTTATGTTTTAAGTAATCAAAGTTTCCATATTTCAGTTCTGTTTACAATTGTGGCATAGATTTTTAGGATTTTGGAATGACATTATGTCTCATTTAATTTAAGTAGATATTTAAATTTATCTTTGAATTTTATCTTCCTGTAATCCCTTTTGATTACACTGTCCAGTTTAGCTTCATTAATATATAGGAGGGGTCAGTAGACTTTTGCTATAAAGGGTATTTAGTAAATATTTTTAGTTTTGATGGCCATTTGGTTTCTATCACAACCACTCAATTCTGGTGTTGGCATGCAAAAGCAGCTATAGCTTATATATATATAATATAAGCTATAGCTTATATATAATATAATGCACCTGACTTGATTTATATAAACAGGCGGTGAGCTGGATGTGCCCCTTGGGCTCTAGATTGTCAACCTCTGACCTCTTGTATGATAATATGTTTCTACATACATATATTTCTAAAAGAAGTGTCAGGGTTCCAAAAAGTGTGATAGAATGTGTTGTTTAGTTTAGTAACTGAAGCATTTTAGTTTGATGCAATTTGATCCACGTAAGAATGAAGTAAGTTTGGTTTTATAAGTAGGCAATGCTTATTTTAGAAATACTTTAAAATTTTTAACTGACTTTAATTCTCTTAACAGCTATTTTAGAGGCAGTGGTAAACCTATCTTACTGGAGATTAGTTTTCAAGAGGTTAAAAATTTTTTCAAAGGTATACAGCTAACATGGGTCATATTATTCCATTAAAAAAATACTGTAACACAGTAATAGAATGTAGTATAACCTTTTTAGGTAATTTCCCTTGGCATAATATTAATAGTATATTTCTTGCTAAATAATCTGAGATTATTATATGATAGGGGATGCCTTTAAAGACATAATTTTTTGAGTGGATAATTTGTTGTCTTGAAATGTTATTTTGGAAGCTATTCTATGTGAGGCATATTTACATTAAGATGTAAAGACTTAAAATTAATTGTTCTTTCTTTAGTTGTGACTAATGTTTAATGCGGATAATTTTAAATGAAAGTAAAAAAGTTCATAGACTATCTTTGGACTTTTTTTTGAAATATTTAGGGTCATTGTATAAATCTTTGCCTTTTTTAAATTGAAATAATTTTGAAAAATTGTTTTGAATAATTATATAAATTAAGGAGTACTTCAACTTTGATGAGAAATATGTTTTAAGATGCCTAGTATGTGAAAAAGATGCTATAAAATAGAAGGTACATGTGATAACAAATATTTTTTAAAGTGCATGAACATATTGTTGATATGAATTTATATTACCATAAGAATATGGATAAGACTAGCAGCTTTATGCCAGATTAGTACCAATAGTTCTGTATCTTGTATTTTTTAATTAAAATGTGCTTATTGCAGTTATATACTGGTTAATAATGGAGTAGATCTTGAGAAATGCATCATTAGGCAATTTCCTTGTTGTGTGAACACCAGAATATACTTATATATACTGAGATGGTTTATGCTAACAATTTGATGTGGCCTCTTGATGAAATAAAGAAAAATAGGAAACATGAGACACAAAATTGCTGCTGACATAACATGGTGTTCCATTTTGCATTAAACTTTTCCAAGTAGGAGTATTATGTTCTAAAGTAATGATAAAAGTAAATAGTATAAGTAAGTAAGCAAGTATCATTGCTGTTTATAATTACTATGTATTATACATAATTATATGTTCTGTAGTTTTATAGGACCAGCAATGCAGTAGGTGTGTTTATACCAACATTGCTGCACAGACATGGGTAATGCTGTGTTACAGCAGACCAAAAGCTATGAGGTCAGGCGGCAATAAGACATTTTCATCCCTGTTACAGTTTCGCGGGACCTCTGTTGTGTATAGTCTCTTGTCAACCACATTGCCATTATGTGGTACAAAGCTGTGTATAGTAAAATGTTAAAGTGAGGAATTAAGACTATTCCTGATAGTAAGTCATATCAATATATATGATATATATGGTATTGGATATTAATTTTGGCAAATTAAAAAGATCCATTCTTGGGCTTTTAAATTTGAATAAGCTCTTTAAATAGAAAATATTTAGTAAATATTTTCATTGTATATAGCATTACAGAGATTTGGTCTAGTATAATATGCTATAAAATTATATTCTCTAGAAGTAAGAGTCATGTTAATTTGCTATTTCAAAATATAATTCTTTTTTTCTTGATGTGTATAGATTTAATAATTTTCAGTTCAAAATGTTAAATCTGAGAATTCTTGCTAACCATTGGCAGAGATATATTTGTTCTTATAGGTTTTATTAAGAATTGAGACTCTAAATTTTAAAAGGCAAATATACAGTTTTTTAAAAGAAATTTAGATATCATAGTGAAAAGTAATTTTATCCTTTTCTCCATAACACAAGTCTATATAGAAAAATCTTGCCAAATACAGTTCCAGAATCATTTGACTATTGTATTTCAGTAGAAATACTTTAATATTAAGTCATATATTTAGAATACTGTATTAATCTGTATAAGTAGATGAGAAAAAATCCTATCACTTTCCTTAGATTCCTATGTTTAGGCACCTAAAAGTTTCATAGTAAAATTTCTTAAATAGATCACATCAATAGACAGGAGGCTGGAGAGAGAAAGAGATGGGTTCCAAGTCTCTTTTGAGGACATGCCTCTGATGACCTAAGGACCTCCATGACACCATACCTCTTAAAGGAATTGGTCATCTCTAAACATTGCGACTCTAAGATCCAAATTTCCAACACAGGACTCTTTAGAGGGCACACCACATCAAAGCCATGGCACATTGCTAGGGCACAGTGGAATACGGGTAGCTGAAATATGTGAATAAACTACATTGTGACTGGCTTGTTTATGGCATATTTCTTTTGAAAAGGGCTTCTCTCATGCAGTGAATTTAAGGTAGCTTGGTAGAAAGTAGGATTAAGTTCTGGGTAAAATTGTTACAAAGAGCACACCTCCACTGTTTCAGTTTCAAGAAATGGTGGTCTAGGTTACTAAAAGGTGCTATATACTTGTTAAATAAAGACAAGATCGAAGTACAAGCAGGATCTCAAATAAGTATAGAATACTGAAAGTTATTTTCTAAAGACTATACACTCAAACTTTAGTTTTGATGTCCTTGAATGGGGCGGGCAAGAAGTCAAAGCCCATTGTGAATAAAAGATTGGAAACCTTAATAGATTTTTTTCTTTTATTAAAGAATACATCAAAGAATGACATATTCACAATAAGGGTAAATAAATCTTATTCACCCCTAGAACACTATAGATATAATTGCCATAGGTCTGAGACATGTTCTTGGCACTGATGAAATTTGTGCCTGTGAAGCTGTGAAGTGATTTTGCAGCTACAGTTTGTGTCACTTTAGTGATGCAGTAAAGCTCAGTACGGGAGTTTTATTTTAAATTGTGTTAAATTTCTATTGTTGTTAGGCTCCGGCAGAATCAAAAATACATTCTCTCACTAGGAAGCTGTCTTTATCCTAAACCTTAAAGATTACCACCAATAACTTTTGAAACGTTAACAGCACCACCAGTCATAATTACCAAACATTTCTGGAAAAGAGTGAAAATCAGCAGATAGAACAGGCACTAAAATGAACTCATTTGTTCAGATTTTATGATTGTTACAACTGTACTTTAGCTTTGAAAGGAAATAAAAAGTTGTAAATGTGATCTAACACAATTGAAAGGCAACTGAAAATATCTTTTGGAATTGAAAATTAGAATGAAGTAAAGCAAGACCAAAACAGAACATAGATTTAATTTCAGGTTAGCAACAGCTAAAGACCACATCAGAGGACTGGATTATCGTAAGAAGTTGTCCATCCTGAAACACATATATTTAAACATGAAAATATGGAGAAATGTTGATAGTCATGAAATAGCATATGTTTAATATATGTTAAATTGGTATTTCAGCACGAGAGAATGGGCCTGTGACAAAATTTAAAGAGGTAATCATTGAGAATTTTTCAGAAGTGAAAAGATAATCTGTAACTTCACAATTTATAATTAATCCCAATAAGGGAATCTAAAACAAAACCAAAAGATTTATTATAGTGGTACTCCAGACTGTAACTAAGAAAATTTAAAAGTATTCAAAGAAAAAAAGTGAGATTATCCTCACAATTATGACAGTGAAAGTGACAAATGACAAAAATTTAAACAGTTATAATGACAGCTGAAAATAATGAAATGATTTTCAATGAATGTAAAGAAAACAACTGCCAGAATTCTATACTCAGTGAAGGAGTATTGGAGTTTCTCCAAGGCACTTGCCTTTGTGTGGAAGACTCCAAAGGTAATTCTGAAAGAGAAAGATTACTACTATCCCTCTTATTTTCATTACTGCTTCCATCGCTACAAAATCAATTTCTTTTTGCAGTAGTTATTACAATTTTACCTTCCTCTCTCTACTCATCCCCTACTTGAACCCTACCTTTTATCTAGAAGGACCAGATACAAGAGGAACAAATATACTTTTATAAAACTTACAGGGACCCATTGTGCCTACCACATTGTCTAACATGGTCACTGTAGAGGAATTGAGTGAGCTCATACCCAGCCACACAATGATTTAGATTCACTCTCCAAGCTCATTCTAATGAGCAGGCGAGTCCACATGTGTGACATAGATTAAGTTTGTCTGGAAGCCATCTTGGAAGGTCTGCCAGCGAGGAGAGCCTATAGTTACCATTAGCAGAAGAAAGAAGCATGTCCAGGTTTAGTCAGGGTAGAACTCTAAATTTTTAAAATAGGTTGTTGTAACTCCTACTCTTCTCATTCTGATTATTACCCAGGAAGCAGCTAGAAAGGGGAATTGCCTTAGGAAGACGTATGGACAGGAGTAAGTGAGGGAGA